TGATTTCAGTCTTGGGCCTCTTCCTGTCATGTAATGGAGAAAGTGTAAGTTTAGTCCTCCATGTATCTTGTGAGTTGTGAATTGTTTAACTTATGTTGTTTTTAATGTATTTGGTTTTATAGCACTTGTGCCTTGTAAGCCGCCCTGAGCCTGCATGCGGGGAGGGCGGGGTAGAAATGGAATTAAATAAATAAATAAATAAATAAATAAATAAGTTCTCAGCATGAAGGGCTAAAAGCAAATCCAGATATTCAATTAAAATTTATAACAATATACTGCACTCCTCTATTCTACACAGCAAGCACTGTATGTTTGGACAATATTAGCCGCGTGAGCCCCGCATCATGTCATTTGAAGCGTAAGTAGTAGATTCCTTCAGTGTCTTTCTCCAATCAGAATCGCAGCACAATGACAGGGCCAGGGTACGTGTGGGAGTGCGGAGCAAGCTGACTAGACTCTACGCCGGCGTGTCTCTGAGATATGGCACACCTCTGAGAGGCACTTTTGGATCTACCACTGTCCCTTGACATGACCAGAGAGCCCCGGAAGACAAGACACGGAAATGGATCGCTTCTATGCAATTACTTACCAGAGGTAGACGGATAGATCCGGAGGAGGAGTCTGGGAGGAGGAAAAAAAATCATATATATAAATAAAGTGCTGGCTTGGGCTTGTTTGCTTGTTTGTTTCCTTGTTGAAATCTTTCTTTTAAGGGACAGAGGGAGAAGCTTTGGTTTTGTTGATGCTGGGGGGTAGAACGACACGGCCAGGACTCGAGCACGATGAAGCCCGAATTCAGGGACTTCCAAGACAAAAGACGTTGAAAGCAGGGGTCCCCGACCATTCCCAAGCTGGCAGGCACCTTTCAAAGTTTGACACAAAGTGATGAAATTGTTGAGCAGTCAGATTAGAACGGATAAAGGGAAGTCCTTCTTCACCCAAAGAGTGATTAACACATGGAACTCACTGCTACGGGAAGTGGTGGCGGCTACAAGCATGGACGGCTTCAAAAGGGAATTAGATAAACATCTGGAGCAGAGGTCCATCAGTGGCTATTAGCCACAAGGTATAGATAGGAACTCTTAGGCTGGGGCAAGGGATGCTCTGTATTCTTGGTGCTTGGAGGGGGGGGCAGCAGTGGGAGGGCTTCTAGTGTCCTGGCCCCACTGCTGGACCTCCTGATGGCACCTGGTGTTTTTGGCCACTGTGTGACACAGAGTGTTGGACTGGATGAGCCACTGGCCTGATCCAACACTGGCTTCTCTCATGTTCTTATATGGAGCAGAGGTCCATCAGTGGCTCTTAGCCACGAGGTATAGACAGGAACTCTCAGTCTGGGGCAAGGGATGCTCTATATTCTTGGTGTGTGGAGGCGGGGGTCAACAGTGGGAGGGCTTCTAGTGTCCTGGCCCCACTGCTGGACCTTTTGATGGCCCCTGGTATTTTTGGCCACTGTGTGACAGAGTGTTGGACTAGCTGGGCCATTGTCCTGATCCAACATTGGCTTCTCGTATGTTCTTATATGGAGCAGAAGTCCATCAGTGGCTCTTAGCCACAAGGTCTAGATAGGAACTCTTGGTCTGGGGCAAGGGAAGCTCTGTCTTCTTGGTGCTTGGGGGGGGCAACAGTGGGAGGGCTTCTAGTGTCCTGGCCCCACTGCTGGACCTCCTGAGGACACCTGGTATTTTTGGCCACTGTGTGACACAGAGTGTTGGACTGGATGGGCCACTGGCCTGATCGAACACTGGCCTCTCTTATGCTTATATGATGGGCGCACCTACAAAATGGTTTCCCCAGGAGGCGGAGCCAGCCACAAAATGTCAGGGAGTGAGGTTATCCATAACTGCGGCTCTTTGGTTCAACAGGATGCCTTTTAAGATGAAGGTAATGTGCTGTGGTGACAGCTGCTACTGAAGCAACTTTTTAAAAAATATACAGGCCCAACCAGGTCTCCGACGGCCAATCAGAAGCCCTGCTGGGCAACAGGCCCACACCTGATTCCACCCATATTATAAAAACACTCAGTGGACACCAGGAAGGGTGCTGGTGGGGGCCAGGGGGCCCACGGATGCCAAGTTGGGGGGGGGCTGACATAGAAGTCCTCAGGCACGTGGCATCATCGATCCAGGCCGCACCTGGTGCCTTGTGTGCAGTTCTGGAGGCCTCGCTTCACAAAGGATGCGGGCAGAACAGAGCGGGTGCAGAGGAGAGTGGCGAGGACGATCGGGTGGCCTGGAGACCAAGAAGCCCTCTGGGGAAAGGCTGCGGGACTTAGCCCTCTAGGCTGAGTCAGTGTGAGCTAGCTCACAGTTTTTTAGCCTCCGGCTCACACACTTTTGTCTTAGCTCAGGAAAGATGGACTCCAGAGCAAACTGATTTATGCAGGAGCCAAACCACTCCCTCACAACTTTAATGCCAGTAGCTCACAAAGAAGAATTTTTGCTCACAAGACTCCACAGCTTAGAGGGAGCATTGCTCCTTGAGAATGTTCAGTCTGGAGAAGAGGAGGTGGAGGGGGGGGGGGGACGGGATGGCGCTGTCCTTTAGAGGAGGGCAGGGAACTGTTCCTGTTGGCGTGGGTTGAAATAAAGGGCGGGAAGGTACCGGCTGGATCTTAGGGGAAACTTTTTTCCAGTCAGAGTTGGCAAGTTCCCCCTCACTGGAAGTCTTCAAGAAGGGGCTGGACAAACTCTTGTTGGGGATGCTCTAGGGCTGATCCCGCATCGAGCAGGGGGGTTGGAGTGGATGGCCTCTGTGGTCCCTTTCATCTCTGTGTGGTTCTATGATTCTATATGGGCGGTTGCAAGTGAGTCTCTCTCTGATTCGGCTGCCAGGCTCTTCTTTGGGACCTGACTTAAACTTTCCCTTCCCAAAACAATGACAGGCGACTACGTCGAACAACACCAAAACAATAGCTATGTGTTTTGTGCTGCCAAGTGGTTTCCGACGTATGGCGGCCCTACTGGGCTTTTTTTGTACCAGGAACTCCTTTGCATATTAGGCGACACACCCCCTAATGTAGCCAATCCTCCAAGAGCTTACAGAGCTCTTCTTACAGGAGCTACTGTAAGTTCTTAGAGGATTGGCTACATTAGGGGTGTGTCGCCCAGGGGTCATTTCTTGCAGGAGTGCACAGGAGCGGAGCTCCGGCAGCAAGGAGCCCAGGGGGTTGGCACATGCAGCAAGCCTCGCCCCCTGCTCCCAGAAGCCCTCAGTCGGGCCAAAAGGAGCAAGAAGCAACCAGGTAAGTTGCAGGGCCGACCCGCCTTCAGGTACAAGTTCTCCCTCCTCTTATGTTCTTATGCCACAAGGTATAGATAGGGACTCTGGGGCAAGCGATGCTCTGTCATCTTGGTGCTTGGGGGGGGGGGGTCAACAGTGGGAGGGCTTCTAATGTCCTGGCCCCACTGGTGGATCTCCTGATGGCACCTGGTATTTATGGCCACTCTGTGACACAGAGTGTTGGACTGGATGGGCCTTTGGCCTGATCCAACATTGGCATCTCTTATGTTCTTATGTTCTCCTCTGTGAGGGCAGATTTGCACGTCTCCCCCACATAGCTAGAAATCCAAAACAGTCCAGTGGCACCTATACGACCAAGTTTTATTCAGGTACAAGCCCTCCCTCCTCTGCGAGGATAGATCTGCACACACACACCCGCCCCCCCATAGCTAGAAATCCAAAACAGTCCAGTGGCACCTTTAAGACCAAGTTTTTATTCAGGTACAAGCTCTCCCTCCTCTGCGAGGACAGATCTGCACGTTCCTCCCCCCCGCCCCAATAGCTAGCAATCCAAAACAGTCCAGTGGAGCCTGAGCGGTGGGTGTTGCCTTCTGACACACTTCCGGTGATGTCAGGGGGTGTTGTGGCATATGCAAATGAGTTATGCTAATGAGGTATGCTAATGAGCTCCTGCACCTCTTTTTCTACGAAATGACCCCTGGTGTCGCCTAATATGCAAAGGAATTCCTGCTACAAAAAAGAGCCCTGCCGGCCCTGTGAAAATGTCCTCTTGTGAATAGCCTTGCTCAGGCCTCGCTAACGGAGAGCCTTCGTTCGTGGCCTCCTCGATCGCTTAACAGAGATCCCTTGATTAAGGAACAGGCATTCTTGCGCATGCACACACAGGGCTCAGCCCTCCTACCGGAGCAGCGCTACTCACACAGATGTACGGCTTCACTTTCTTGCAAGGGAACCAGCCGGAATCATTGGTGGATGTGTTTCTGCCCTGCGGGGTGGAAGCCAAAACCAAAACATCAGGCACAGGAGAGAGAGGAGACCCCTAGAGGCCATTCGGCATCCTCATGTTTCTGGAGAGGGGACAGTTCTAGAGCTCTGCTCTGGAGGAGCGTTGTGATCCAACTGAAGACAAGAGGTTTGTGTGTGTGTGTGTGTGTGTGTGTGTGTGTGTGTGTGTGTGTGTGTGTGGTGCAAGTGTGTGTGTGTGTGTGTGTGTGTGTGTGGTGCAAGGGAGGTTGGTTTGCATTTCAACACATGCACACGCACACACACACACACACACACACCACTTCAGGTGATGCAGAAAATATATACTGCAATAAGATAACCAGTAACTGAATATTGGACCAGGAAGAGGAAGGTTAAGCAGCAAGATCTAAAGACACATGACACAGATGTTTGTGAGGCCTCAAAAGATGGAAGTCATGTGTCTGGTGCCAAAGGCACAGTGGCTGAATTAGAACTAGGGCTGCCAAATCCCCCCAGGGGGGCGGATTCCCCCCCCCACTTTGGAGGCCCGATTTCCGCCCCCGCAGAATTGGCCAGGGGGGAAACCCCACCCCTGCGTGCACGTCACTCGGATGTCACACGCTGGGGGCGGGGCCACAGCCATTTGAGGGGAAAACTATGTTTTCCCCTCAAATGGCTGTGGCCCCACCCCCAGTGCCCGGTGTCATGATGTCACATCCGGGTGACGTAGATGCGGCATGCGCGCTTTGCGCGCTTTGCGCGCGCACACACCAGGAGCTGTCTAGGAGTCCCCCGCCAAGGAGGTGAGTGCCATTTGGCAACCCAAATTAGAACATCTTCCAGTTTAGGTCCAAAAAGCACCTGTGTGGCTATCAAAGTCAGAGCTAGAGTGTCCCCAAAGCAAATAGCAGAAAATATACCGGTAGATGATTTGAAGGACTGTCTGCTTCCACAGGCCCCTAGGCCCCAAAGAGGGTCGTCAGCAGTGTTCCCTCTAAGCAGTGTGAGCTAGCTCACAGTCTTTTAGCCTCCAGCTCACACATTTTTGTCTTTAGCTCAGGAAGGGATGGCTCCAGAGCACGCTAATTTATGCAGCAGCCAAATCGCTCGCTCACAGCTCTAATGCCAGGAGCTCACAAAGTAGAATTTTTGCTCACAAGACTCCACGGCTTAGCAATGTCCCCTCTAAGCTGAGTTAGTGTGAGTTAGCTCACAGTTTCTTAGCCTCCGGCTCGCACGTTTTTGTCTCAGCTCAGGACCTAGGATGGCTCCAGAGCAAACTAATTTCTGCAGCAGCCCAATCGCTCGCTCACAACTTTAATGCTGGTAGCTCACAAAGTAGAATTTTTGCTCACAAGACCCCACAGCTTAGAGGGAGGATTGGCCGTCAGGCATGGCTCTCCCACCACTCAGGGGGGGCACCAGTCTGGCATCAACCGGGGTCCAGGTCTGTTCCCTTGTGGCTCTGACTCTGTGGAATGGGATCTCTTGAGAGCTGGGCGGGGGGGGGGGTGTCCCTCTTTAGAGGTCTTCAGGAGGCATGGCAAGACCTGCCTGTTTGCCAGGGCTTCCAAAGTGTGTGTGTGTGTGGGAGATTTGGGTTGCCTATTGAAGAATAGATGTTTTTGAATTATGGTGCTGGAGAAGACTCTTGTCCCCTGGACTGCAAGGAGATCACATCAGTCAATCCTAAAGGAAATCAACCCTGACTGTTCCCTGGAAGGCCAGAGACTGAAGCTGAACCTCAGATACTTTGGCCACCCAATGCGAAGGGAGCACTCACTGGAGAAGACCCTGATGCTGGGAAAGACTGAAGATCAAAGAAGAAAATTCTTTTGAATTATGGTGCTGGAGAAGACTCAAGACCACAAGGAGATCAAATCAGTCAATCCTAGAGGAAATCAACCCTGACTCTTCCCTGGAAGGCCAGAGACTGAAGCTGAAGCTCAAATCCTTTGGCCACCCAATGAGAAGGGAGCCCTCACTGGAGAAGACCCTGATGCTGAGAAAGACTGAAGGTCAAAGAAGAAGGGGACGGCAAAGGATGAGATGGTTAGACAGTGTCACCGATGCTACGAACATGAAGTTGAGCAAACTCCAGAGGACGGCGGAGGGCAGGAGGGCCTGGCATGGGGTCGCAAGGAGTCGGGCTCAACTGTGCGACTGAACAACAACAACAACAATTTATTTGTGGTTTTTAGCCAGGGACGTTTTTAACTATTATTGTAAGCCACTTTAACCACGACAAAAGGGAGGATATAAATGCTCTGGCTGTGTCTGCGCGGCGAGGACTCTCGGCTTCCCTGCCGTTGTGGCCACAATTGCAGAAGAGCTTTCACTGGCCCTGGGCGCGGCCGCACACAAGCACACCAATCGCCGAAATCGGTAAAAACAAAGCACTCGCCTGCCACCACAGCTGCTCGGCCTCCGCTTTGGTTACCTCCACGATGTCTCCAACGTTGAGCCTCAGCGGGGGGCCAAACGCCATGGGCGGGGGAGGCACGCCGTGGTACCCTTGGCAGGCCTCCAGCTTGGGCAGCCCTGGAAAGCAAAAGCAGAGCTGCAGACTTTGAGGTGAACCCGGGGGCGGCGAGTTGTATGTGAGCCTTTCCATGCAATGAGGAAGAACATATTATTGATATTATATTATTATTATCGGTTTTATATCCCGCCCTCCCAGTCGAGGCCGGCTCAGGGCGGCTTACATAAAAGAATAAAAACACACAAGAAAGCAATTTAAATAGGGCTAAAACCATATAAAACATTCCAACATTGAAAGGTGCTAACATTAATGATGCTAATAAGTTATTAGATGATTAACTGATGGCGGTCGACCTTCAGTATTCCAGATCCTGGCGGTCACCCCATAGATCTAGCTGGCACAGGCTGTTCCTGACGTCTTCAGGGAACAGGGTTCTCTATCGGGGGCTGCTCCTATTGGAGGCCTGGTGGTGGAAGAGCTCCGTCTTGCAGGCCCTGCAGAACTGCATGAGTTCCCGCAGGGCGCTGATCTCTTCTGGGAGCTCGTTCCACCAGAGCCACCACCGAGAAAGCCCTGGCCCTGGTTATAGCCAGGCAACATGACCATGGGCAAGGTTCACACACACACACACACACATCCCTAGAATGTCCTTGTGACCAAAAGAAAGGGGTGGGGGTCCTAAGCACAGCCAGACCCCCTCTCTCAAAAAAGGAAGTCGCTCTGACTGATGGCTGCGGCTGTGGCTGAGGGAAGGAAGTGAGGAGATAGATTCCCAAAGAACATCAGAAGGTCTCTGCTGGATCAGACCAGGGAGGGTGCACCTAGGCCTAGGGTTGCCAGGTCCCCTCGTCACTCCAGTGGGGGGATTTGGGGAGTGTTCCAGGGGTGGGCAGGTACGTCGCATGGGATGCTCTGGTATTTGGGCAAAACTCTATGGCTTTTTCACCCTCAAACCATAGAGTTTGCCCAAATACCAGAGCATCCCCACACGACGTCCCCGACGGGATGATGTCATTTTCAGGTGACATCATCTTGTCACTGTTTAGGGGCGGGGTTTCCCCCACCAGTCAGCTGGTCCATGGTGGGGAGAAGCCCCTGAAACCATGGGATCCCCCACCCAGACCTGGGGGCTGGCAAGTCTACCTAGTCAAGCATCCTGTCTCACGCAGTGGTCAACCAGCTCCTCTGGAGGGCCAGCAACAGGGCAGAGAGGCTGAGGCCTTCCCCTGATGAGGACAGCAGAAGAGCCCTGCTGGGTCAGACCAGGGAGGGTCCCTCTAGTCCAGCCTCCCGTCTCACACAGGGGCCAACCTCATTCTCTGGAGGGGCAAGAACAGGGCAGAGAGGCTGAGGCCTTCCCCTGATGAGGACAGCAGAAGAGCCCTGCTGGGTCAGACCAGGGAGGGTCCCTCTAGTCCAGCCTCCCGTCTCACACAGGGGCCAACC